AGAGGAGTGTGACTCTGTGTCCTCAAGGCTGGGCAGCTGGGCTGTGACCCTCACATATTTAAGGAGCTCAGGGAAGAAGGAGAGAGCTGGGAGTGCCTGAGGCTTTAGGGCAGCAACGCTTGAGCACAGGTGGGCTTTTGGTACTTGGGTACCAAAAAGGTAACCCGGCCAAGTTTTCAGATGAGGCAGACAAGGCTTCTTCCCCGGCCAGGGCCTCGCCTGGTAGTTTGAACAATTCTAGTAGAGGGAAAGGATGGACAACAAGAGCAGAGGAGAGGAGGAGCCAGCCTGACCAAGGATGCTGTTACCTTCCAGAGCAGTCTCCCTGTCCAGATCACCAGGATCCCGTTTGCTGGAGAATGACCCAGATGTCCCAGGTGCAGGAGCTCTTCCACGAGGCAGCCCAGCAGGTAGGCTCCGGATGTGCTGGGTCTGTGATGGAGGCCTGTGAGCACCGGGATCCCCAGAGGGTGGGCTGGATGCAAACATTACAGTGCACTCTTTAGACGTAATTAACTCCAAAGTCTTTTTTGGTCATCCAGTTTAATGAGAAAATATAGCCAAAATATTATAGCCGTTATTAACTGTTGATGTACAGAAAACTTTTGGCATTATCTGTGGTGGATTTTGAATCCTGAGATCTCGCACAACTCCAAACCCCATCCTGAGAGGCCTCCCATGGACAGTCACAGTGAGGACTCACATAATATGAACTCATTTTAATTCTGGATCAAACCAATGTAAGAAGGTAAATTTCTTTCTGAAAAAACTCTTATGTTCTGAAGCCAAAAGGATTTCTGGATGCCCTAGTGTTTGCTGTTTTTTTTTTTTTTTTCCTTTATCTTCTTCCTGCTGATCATTAGTTATAGCAAATATGCATTCTGTAGATATGGAATTGAAGTGGCTCTCCCCAGAAACAGAGAACTGGTCCCTGAAGAAATAATAATAATAATAATACACCATACTAAGGTGTTTATCCAGAAACTACGTGCACCCAGGGTCTTTGCCATCCATGATCACTCAACATGAATTTTTCCACTATCTCTTGGGCTTCTGCCCTGCTTTCTAGAGAGGGGCAGGAGGGTTTCCCAGCCTTATAACAGGGGAACAAGCCCCACCAGTGGGGAGAGAACCAACATGAAACAGAAACCCAGATGGAAAACGTGAGGCCCCAGGAATTCCCAAAGGAGACAAATAAGCCATTCTGGGCTCTTCCCTGTGAGAGCATCTGTTCCTCTCTCCCCTGTTTAAAACCTTTGGTGTCTCCTCATGTGCACCACTCAGGGCTCAAACTCTCCAGCCTCAGCCCTACACAGTCTGACCCCACCTGAGTCTCAAGTCGGGTTCCCCACGTCGTCTTTTTCCTGCCACACCTTCCATCCAAACCACACCATTCCCCAGGGCTTATATCTTTCCCTTGATCTTTGCTGATGCTTCTTATCGACAATTTGTCATTGAAACCTTCACCCAAGGTAGGACCTGG